AGGTTGCCCAGAGCAGCTGTGGATGCCCCATCCCTGGAGGGGTTCAAGGCCAGGCTGGACGAGGCTTTGAGCAACCTGGGCTGGTGGGAGGTGTCCCTGCCCGACAACCCAAACCCTTCTGTGGTTCTATGATAGCTTTAATGCATACACAGGGCTTGCAGACCTGCCGCTTGCCTGTGCCATAGGGAAAACTTGGACTCTCAGTTCTTTTCCTGGCTCCCCGTATCTCCAGAGACATGGAGAGCATCTCCACAGGGTCATTCCAAAAGCAGCAACCCTCTACCCATGCCAGCCCCCACGGGAAAAGCTGGCAGCATCGGTCCTGCCTGCACCCCACAGCCCCCTGCCCATTGCTCCTGCCCACAGAGCTCCAGGGGACGCGACACTGGTGTCGCTGTCCCCCCACTTCGCGCTGCTCTTACATCAGCTCCTTCAGGCTGCAGTTCTGCTTCAATGCCTCGGCGATTTTCCTGGCCCCGGGGGCTCCGATGCCGTTCTTCTGCAGGCTGCAAGGTGAGGAAGGCGCCCGTGAATATCGGGTCCCTGGAGGGACACCTGGGTCTGCTGGGAGGGGGACAGCAGGTCGTGGTCACTCACTGCAGGGTGGTCAGCCTGGAGTTGGTCAGCAGGGCCTCAGCCAGGGAGGCGGCACCGTCCTCCTTGATGGCATTGTGCTGCAGGCTGCAGGGGACAGGAGTGATGCCGTGCGGGGCAGCCACCGCCATGGGCGAGGAGCTATGGAGGGCAGGGGGTCTCCTGCCCTGGCATTTGCTTGCCCCTGTCCCTGGTGTGGGAAGGGCGTCTGGCGCCCAAGCGTCCCTGCCCAGGGGCGACCCTCCCTCATCACCCATGGGAGATGCCTCCTCCTGTGCATCAGCACCCTGGGAGCTCCCACGCAAGGGATGGACATGGACCTCGATCTTAACCCCAACCTCAACCTTGACCCCAACCTTAACCCCAACCTCAACCTCGACCCCAACCTTAACCCCAACCTCAACCTCAACTTTGACCCCAACTTCAAACTCAACCTCAAACTTGACCTCAACCCCAACCTCAAACTCGTCCCCGACCTCAACCCCAACTTCAACCTTGACCTCAACTTCAACCTTGACCTCGACCTCAACCCCAACCTCAAACTTGACCTCGACCCCAACCTTAACCTCAACCCCAACGTCAACCCTGACCTCAATCTCAACCCCGACTTCAGCCTGGACCCACTGAAGCTGGGAGCAGGAGGATCCCAACACCTCTGGCCCAGGGCTGCCCCAGCCACCGGGTCTCTGCAGCTGCCCTCGTGCTGGCCGCGCAGCAGAGCCAGACCAGGCTGTGCCCAGGGTGTCCCCACGGGCTGGTGCTCGGGGCGGGGAAAACCTCAGTGGGACAGGAGAGGGCTGGAGGGGGCTTGTCCTGGGGCTCTTCTCCCGGAGGTGCTCCAGACGTTGAGACTTACTTCAGGGAGAGCAGGACTTGGTTTTTTTTCAGTGCATCAGCCAGTGCTTTTGCTCCGGTGGGGCCGATGGAGTTGCTCCGCAGGCTGGGGCGGGACGGGCAGAAAAACCAAGGTTAGCAAAGCCCAGGTGCCCAGTTTAAGCTGCGTGGCACCATCCCAGGCACTGCTGAGGTGGGGCTTCAGCAGCTCGCAAGAGTTCTGTTCACCTCTTGAGCGGTGCTGGCTTTGGGGGCTGGAGACCCTCCCCAGCTGGGATCCAGCCCTGCTGTGGCCATGGGAATGGTTCCCGGTGGGGAATGCGTGTGGAAGGAGTGGTAGAGGGGAAACACTTACTCCAGCACCATCAGGCTCCTGTTCACCATCAGTGACCTGGCCAGCGCTTTGGCTCCCTTGTTGCTGATCTGATTTTCTGCCAAGCTGCCCGGAAAAAAATCAGGTGTTTTTCAGGGGGATAAAGAGGCTTTCGCAGCCCCTGGCATGTCCCAGGACACAGCTGGGATGGGTGAGCAGAGGAGAGCCATGGGGAGCATTTGGGTCACGGTACAACCATGTCACCATGTCCTTGTCACCCTGGGGAACCAGTGGGAGAGACGTTCCTGGAGGACCCTCACCCTGGTTTTGAGATACCGCCAGCTCAGCTCCACATCCCCAGGAACAGCCCATCTGCCCTGGGCCAGCTCCTACCTGAGCTTCTGGATCTGGCAGTCCTTCACGCTCAGTACGCTGCCCAGCAGCTCCATCACATTGTCCTTAAACTGGTTATTGTCCAGCCTGGAGAAGATACAAGGAAAGGGCAAAAGGAAGTATTTGGAGAACAAAGTGAAGAAAGGACTACCTTCCCGTGACATCTGCCCATCAGAGGTGGAAAAACTCAAGCCCAGAAGCAGAGCTGAGCCAGTACCACCCCAGGGCAGCTCCCTGCTGGTGGACAGCGTTGGTGGGACCATGTCTCCCATTGACACCCAGGATTTTGAGTCACAGCCCAGCATCCCCACTTGTTTCTCCTGGTGCAAGCCAACCAGGACTCACCTGAGGTTGTGGCAGAAGAGGAGCTGGGAGAGCAAGCTCTTGCAGACGTTGTAGGTGAGGCAGTTGGAGAGGTTCGTCTCCTCCATGCAGATGTCGGAGACCTGCAGGAGATAAGCCAGGGCAGAGCAGTTCACGGGGGTGAGCATCCCAGCCAAGCTCTCGTTCTTCATCGCTTCTTCCACGGTCTTGGCGATCTCCGTGTGCTGAATCTCGTACAGGCAGTGCATGGTGTTCACTGTCCGTGAGGAGATGACATAGTCGGTGTTCAGGCAGCCCTGGAGGAAGCTGATGGCTTGGCTCCTGAAGCTGTTGTGCTCGTCCTTCACCAGCAGCCACCCCGAGAGCAGCTTGTTCACCTGCGGGGAGAGGAGCCCAGAGAGAAAACGCGCAAAGATGTCCAGCTGCCTGTCCTCCGCCTGCAGCGACCTCTGCACAGCGCTCTTGAAGTGGTTGAGGAAACCCAACTTAGGCCAGGACATCCCGCTCTCCGTGAAGAGGTCGAATATCGCCCGCTTGGCTGCCAGGTAATAATAAAGAGCTGCTAGGAACTCCTGGATGGTTAAGTGGGAGAAGTAGTAGGCTGTGAAGGACTGCATCTCCTCTTTGAGCAGGAGTCGGCTGCACAAGCTGCTCTGCAGCAAGGAGAGGTCGATGCCATATGCCTTCATGTCCTGCTCGTAAAACACGTATTTCTTTTTGAGCAGCCCGTAGAAGGCCAGTCTGCCCAGGCTGCCCACTATCCTCTTGCTGTTGTTCACCGCCTGCTCGATCCTCAGCGTTTCTCTTGGCTTTTCTGGCCAGTCGCTGCTCAGAGCCATTTTAAAATAATAGGAGTAGATTTCTGATAGGGTCCTGGGGACGGCGGTTGTTTCTGGGGACTGATGGGTGCTGTTTTTTAGGTAATAAGCGATTGAGGAGGCAGAGATCCAGCAAAAGCCAGGAACGGTGCACATGACGTGTAACGACCTGTTAGCCCTGATGTGCTGCAGGACTTGACCAGACAGGTCTCTGTTGTCAAGGAACATCTGGTCCAAGAAGTCCTTCATCTCTGCAGCTCCAAAACCTCGTATTTCCGTCATCCGGTCAACAAGCCCACCAGGGATTTGGCTGGCTGCTGTTGGCCGTGATGTGACCCAGACAGAAGCCTCCTGCAGCAGGTTGCCACGGATGATGTTGGTGATCAGGTTGTCCACTTGGATCTCCTTTTTGGGATCGGTGCATATGACCGTGTTGGAAAAGTCCAAAGGAGTCTTGAACTCATCCAAGCCATCGAGGATCAGCAGGGTCCTGGCGGCTCCCGCCGAGATGCAGTTGGGCTCGGTGATGTGAGGGAACACTGAGCAGATGAGCCTCTCGGCAGAGAGCTTCTCGTAGGTGTTGAGTTCCCGGAAGGTGAGGGGCAGCACAAACATGATGTCCCTGTTGATCTCCCCCTTCGCCCAGGTACAGACAAACAGCTTCACCAGTGTGCTTTTGCCAACCCCGGACACTCCGATGGTGACGGAGATCCGAGGTGGGACGCTGACCTTGGAGAGAGGCAGGAAGAGCTTCTCCAGAGGGATGCTCTTGGATACATTTCGTAGGCCTTTGGTGGCTTCAATCTGCAGGATGTCATGCTCCTTCTGCTGGATGTCGGTCAAGCCTTCCACCAGCAGCAGGTTGGTGAGTCGCTGGAGGGGACCATTCTCCAAGCCGTTCCCATAGTGGCTCTGGAGGATCTCCAGGTGCTTCTGCAGCATGGGTTCTGCACAGAGAGAAAGGAAACGGGGCGGGGGGTGAGGAGGAGGATGGCAACCACAATGGGAGACGCTGCTTCACTTTTCTGCCATGCCCATGATGAGGGTAAACTGCAGACAGCCCTTACCTCCGGGCAGAAGGTGTGGGCCAGGGTCTGGAGAGCACTAATGGGCTTAAATAGCCCTGACCAGCCACTGGTCCAAGAGCCCATTTAAGCTCAGCCCTGAGCCTTCAGCCCCTGCCTAAGCCATGTTGTAGGAGTGCTTGTCTACAGCACCATCGCGCCTGTGCCTGCTATGGACCTTGCTGCTCAGGACCTTGATCTTGGACCTTATTGCTCTGCACTTGCCTGGTGACCACTGGACTGTGTCTGAACCTGGTTGCCCTCACTGGACCCAATCCTGTTGTCTGGATTGCCTTCCCAGCTTGACCTCAGCCCTGCCTCATCGCCATGGACTTGTCTGATGAGCTGGACTCCTGTCTGAGCCTGGTGACCATCTCTGGACCCGTCCTGCTCCCCTGGCTCAGGTCCCACAGCCCCTGGCATGGCGTATTTAAACCCTCCAGCACGGGCTGGACAAGCAGGCGATGGCGCTGCGAGAGATTCGGAGCAGACACCGGCCACGGCTGGAGCCTTCCAGCCAGGAGGGACAGCAGGGAAAGCTCTCCTGGGAAGAGGGTTGCAAGGAGAGCCTGAAGTTGGGGCAGTCACCAATGGATGGGGTCAGGGGTGCCCTGCTGTCCTCCTCCTGCCACCCCCGGTTCCCAGCCCAGCTGCTGGGAGTGACTGGTGTCATCTGGATGTCGAGGACATTTGAGACTCCTTGGGCTGCCCAGAGAGGTGTGCTGAGGGCAGCCAGGGGCCTGGAGGAAGGTCCCTCAGACCTGGCACAGAGGTCTGGTCACCCCCTGGCTGTGTCCTTCCCCAGCAGAGACCCTGGGATGGCAGTGTCCCTTTCAGGGACACCCCCATGGGACCTGCCGGTGCCGCCCAGCTCTGTGCCCATCTCGGGGTGCTCCAGCAAGCGCCCACAGCCAGGATGTGTGCAGACACCCCTGTGGGGTCCTGCGTGGGCTGCCTACCATAGACAGTGATGTGCAGGTAGAGCTGGGAGTTGGTGGTCTCGATGAAGGTCTGCAGGGACTGGGAGGCGTAGCTGCCCTTGCCAGCCAGGACGTCCACCACCGCCCTCACCTTCTCGGGCAGGGAGCTCGCCTCCCGCACCCGGCCGGCCTCCTCTGCCGTCAGGAGGTCCAGCCTCCGCAGGTGGCAGATGATCTCCTCCAGGAACTGCGGCGAGATGGACCTCACCAGCTGCTTGCGGTAGCGGTTGATCCAAGCCTCTGCGGGAGAGGAGAGCGGGAGAGTTGGGTGTTGAAGGAGCCCTGGGCAGCAGTGGAGGACCCCGTCTGACCCTGCAGGTAGCAGGGGTTAAAGCAGAGCCCTCCAGAGTGACCTGCCAAAGTCCTCCTTGAGAGGATGCCATCCCAAGGCTGCGGCAGGCTGCTTTCCTAGGAGCTGCTTAGTCAAGGCAGAAGCTATCGAAATTGCAGTCAAAGAAACTGAAGAACACAATCATGAAATGACCTTTCCTCCTGGAAGCCAAGCCCATGCAGAGATAAAACCCTGAGCAACATCATTTATCTTCAGAGGCAGCCACTGCCCCCGGGCCAGCACAGCCCCCCCAAGCCCTTGGACTAGGAACTGCTGCCAACCCTCCCACCTTGGTGCCCCACCTTGTCCTGTTTTCTAGTCCCAAACTCCCCTGAGATGATGGATCCCTGGCTGCCCGGCCACCGCTCACCTTCCATCAGTGGCCTCCTGTGACATTGGGGGTCCCTGGGCGAGGATGCTGTGCTGGCAGCAGCACGGCCGTCCCATGGACCGCCCCGCGTCCCCCGCCCGGCTCACAGCATCGGCTGGGGCTCCTCAGCCTTCATCCAGGTTCCTGGTGGAAGAAGAAGGAAAGCATCAGGAGCAGCGAGGGAGGGAGCCCACCCTGAGCTAACGAGGTGTTGCCTGGGGTTGAGCCAAGGGTCCATTTGTCACCTCTTGGCTAAGACCCATGTCCCCAGCGCTGTGCACCCGACAGAGCCAGGACCATCCCCTGCAGCATCTTTGCCCAGATCTTACATGCTACAAACTTGGTGCCTTCACCACCGCTTACACTGGAGCCTTTCTCGGGCAGCGTGATTGCATTAATTGCCCTGACGATGCCCCTGTGTCATCTGCGGGCCACCCGGTGAGGGCCACCACTGTCACCGGAGTAACCGCTCATGTTTCCCTTTGCCATGTTGCAAAGGAAGTTGTGGGGCAGCAGGCAGGGTGATAAAGGGCTCGTTTTGGTTTCGAAGCCACCTCGCCACCGTCCAGAGCCTCCGCCAAGGCTTGCTGAGCGTGGCCAGCACCACATCCTGTTGCAGATCGCTGTCGATGCTCCACTTTCGGCAGCGCCGGTGAATCATCGCCCGGAGAAGGAGCATCTACCTGCTCCCTCCCCCTCGGCTGCACCAAACCACACTGAGGGTTTGGGGTTGTATTTTTAAGACGCGTATCCGCTCACAGAGTCCAATTGTTTTCTGAGCAGAGGTGGGGAGGGAAATACCTCCACGCCTGCGAGCGCTCCCAGCTTCACCCGTGTTAGCAGATGGCACCGTGCCGTGGGCTCTGCACCGGCCCAAAGGCATTGCCCGGAGCTGGTTGTGACCTGGTGGGAACATCTCGGCTGCCCCCAGCCAGCCCCAGCACCTCCCAGAGCCATTGCTGTCTGCTCACAGCAGCGATGCCGACACGCTGACCACACCCTGGCCCGTGTCCTGGCCCAGCATCCTCCCCCTGCCCTGGCCCATGGGGTGGTCGGGGTCCATACGGCTTCACCCCTATGTGTGCCAGTCAGCGGCACGGTGAGGAGGACCCTGCCTGTGGACAGCAGTGCCTTTGCCCAAACCTGCTCCCGAGTGGGCTGTGGGCACCGTGGGGGCTGCGGTGCATCAGGTCCAGGCGACGCTTTCGTTGGTCAAACCCAACCTCTGCCAGGGGGAAAGTGCAGCTTGGCCAGGGAAACTGGGTAGGGTCTCTGGTCCATGGTTAGATCCCTGGTGCAATGTGAAGGTGCTCGGACATCTCCTTTGCAGACTCTTTCCATCATCCTCCTGCCAGGAGATCCATGCTGAGGTTTGTTTCTCTGACCAGAAGACCCAAGGGCTCAGCCCCAGCAGCAGCCCGGGTGGGCGGTGGCGAGAGGGACAGGCACAGCATCTCCCCGAGCTGCGGCATCTCCCCGAGCTGCTTCCCCCCACGGACCCCACTGGCGGGAGCTCCCAGCACAACCCCTTCTCAGCACGTCCCACGGAGCGGGTGAGTGTCTAAGAGGCACCGGGTGACAAAACCAGCCCGTCCCTGCCTGCCCAGGTGGTGTCACACATGGCTTGGCCAAGCCCTCAGAGGGTGGGGGGGCTGTGGTAGCTGCCTTTCCCTCCAGGGGGGAAACGGGTCCTTCCACTCCCCGTCAGCTGCCCAGCTCTGTCCCCCTGGTGTCAGAGGTCACAGAGGTCCATGGTCCCCCTGTCAGTGACGGTGGCCCCACAGCAAAGCCCTTTTCTCCATCCAGGTGACACCAGGTCACCTTGCTCTTCACCCCCCAGGCTGTGGCTTGCTCCGTTAATCCACCATAAATCAACGGAGCTTGGTGAGCAGCTCCCAGGGAAACGTTCATCCCTGGCCTGGAAAGCTCAGCGACGTCTTTGCACGGAGCCGTCCCCAGGTCTCATCTTTGCAACCCAGAACACGGCCAAAACGCGAGGGGGTTTGCTGCTCCCCGCAGCCCTTCCTCTGCAGCGCGCTGGTGAGAAAAAGCCCTTTGACGGGGGGAACTGCTCTGACACCTGAGGTTATTTCATCGTGTCCTCTGGTGCTACTCCAAAATGGGATCCTGCTGCTGGAAACCAGCTTGTGCAAAGGCGTCTGACTGGGAGAATGAGGCAGCAGAAGGCATAGAGCAGCAGAAGAAATAATTCAGTGGCTGCAATTTTTTTATTTTCAGTTTTCAGTTTCAGCTCTAGGACCACCCAGTGATGCTGGAGGCTGCATCCAGGAGGATGAAGGGTGGCACCTCCCCTGGCACCAGCTGTCTGAGGGCAGACACCAGCCCCAGCACCCCTGCAGAGCCACGGTGTTTCCAGGATGCGACCCAGCTCATCCTGAGTCTGCCGGGATGAATCCTCATTCCCCTGGCCTGAGGCTGGCAAGCGGCGTTTGCGGCCGTTCCGCATGCAGGATGCTCAGCGCCGGGTTCGCAGCTCTCACTTGGCTGGGATCAAGCAGGGACAGCGCTCGTCCCTGCCGCAGCCGCTGCTGGAGCAGCAGCAATGGTTCATGTCTGTCCTGCCTGGCCACCTGCATCCCCTGGGACACCGGGACAAGGAGCTGGAGAGCAGGAGGCTGCTCCACTGAATGTCTGCAAGCCCCAGGGAGGGAAACAGGGGATTTTGTTTGCAAGAACTTGGATTTAACATCTTTTTTTTTTTTGCCTGGTGTGGTCCAAGATTCCAACCCAGGGAGAAATCTTCCCATCTGAGGATGTCCAGGCAAGATGTGTCCTTTGAGCAGCTTCAATCTGATGTCCCACCACCATCCCCACGTCCCACCATCCCCAACCATGCTGAAGGTCCCTGACCACGCACATGGACATCCCTGTACCAAGCAGCCACTGCGTTTTTCATCACCGTATGTCCGGCTCCAAGACCCAGGCTGCCTGCCATCAACACCAGAAAACACGGACCCAGGTGCAGGTGATTCTGCTCACCTCTGGCTCTAATGACCTATGTGCACTTTCCTCCTGGAAGTCCAACATGGACCACAAGAAGTTTAATGGGGGATCTGAGATGAGGGGACAGTCCCAGGACGGCCACAGTACGAAGGGTATTTACTGCATCCCTGCTCTGCCTGGGTCTGGTTTCCCTTCAGCAGCCATTCTGCCCCGGACAGATCCATCGCCCCATGCTCTGGGAACCTGCTGAGGACTCGGGATGGTCCCACTCCAGGAGCTGTCACAGCCACTGCCAGCAGCATCACGGCCATGTCGGTGGGAAATCCACAGTCATCACCAGGCAGGGGCTGGTGTGCAGAGCCATGGACACCGTCGGAGGACACAGGGTGGCCCCTCCGGCGAGCAGAGCCTTGGGGACCCACTGGGCTGGAGGGTGCCTAGCCCTGATGGGCACTAAAGTGCTGGGCAAGAGCTCCTGGATGGCTACAGGGACCCACGCAGGGAAAACACCAGAAAATGGGCTGGTCTGCAGCAGTTGGTGCGTTTAAAGCTTTTTGTATGAACTAATAATTGCACCGTTGACCAGGCACCTGAAGGAGCAGAGGGATGTTCCAGCGCAGCGCCATGGCCCGAAACATGCGGCAGCCCCTGGCCTGGCCATTGTCCATCGCCTGTGCGGCCGGGTCCCCCAGGGTCTCCAGTTTGGGGTGGGGGGTCTCGGTGCAGCTGGATCCCCAGCAGCACAGCACCCGTCTCACCGCCGCTCTCCCTCACGCAGGAACAGAGCGAAACCAGCCCCGCGAGACCTTCCCACCACTTCCTGGCGCTGGGTTTCCTCCGGCGAATCTCGGGCTCCTTCACCAACACACCCTCGGAGCTTTTATTTCTGTCTCCTGCCACCCACCCACCCTGTGCCGACGCCGTTTCGGAGGTCAGGGAGCTGCACGCGGGAACATTTCCTGAGCCACCATCTCCAGCCATCCCCGTCACCCGCTGAGCTGAGCAGATCCCGAAGCCAAGATACAGGCTGCCACCTCTTGGCAGGACGGAAAAGATTGCACATTATTAATTTATGTTAATTAAGCAAAGCGATGGAGTATCTTCTACGTTATACCCCATTATGAATCGTCCAGATTTGCAGGTAACTCAGTTATCAAAGCTAACATAGGACTTTCAGATGCAGTCTTTTTTTTTTTTTTGGCCTGGATTTAATGCTAGCAAAAATTATTGCAATTAAAGAGTGACCCCCCCGCCATGCCAAATCTAACCGAAATGTAGGCTTTTGGGTTTTTTTCTTCCCCCAAATCCCAGACACAGTAAGAGTTAAACAGCGAGTCGTGGAAGCGAATGAGCCATGGAGGACTCCGGGCTGAATGCCAGCAGCCCCAGCACCAAACCTCACCAGGAAAAAGCAAAGATCCATCTACAGGTAATCCCAAACACATAAAACCAAAGCTGATTTCAGAGAGAAGGTCTCTCGCAGGGTACTGCCACACCTCGCAAGCTGCAAAAATAAAAAACAATGTCTTTCCCGAGCTGATTGTGGCCCCAGGACACTTTATCGGGAGCGTGCATGTGCGTGGTAAAAAGCAGATCCTCTCCCCCCAAACAGCTCTGCCCTTCTTGCCAACAGGACCTGAGGACATCGGCACGAAAACAGGAACAAGCCGCTGCCAGCCTGCCTCCCTCCCCAGCGCCAGCCCATCCGTTGGCCTCGGGGGACGCAGAGCTGAGGGATGCTGAGCGGTACCCCCCCAGCACCCTGCTGGGGACAGCCCCAGCTTTTGGGGGACGCAGAGCTGAGGGATGCTGAGTGGTACCCCCCCAGCACCCCACTGGGGTCAGCCCCAGCTTTTGGGGGATGCAGAGCTGAGGGATACTGAGCAGTACCCCCCAGCACCCCGCTGGGGTGAGGCCCCACTTTCAGGGGCTGCAGAGCTGAGGGATGCTGATTTGCACCCCCCAGCACCCTACCAGAGCTCGATGCTGGGGTCAGCCCTGCTTTTGGGGGATGCAGAGCATCCCTCTGAAGCCACAGCTTCGGACCACCAAAGGCATCCAGGAGTTCTCCAGAAAGAAACTTTTGTGCCAAGTGTCCATCCTTTGTGCCGAGCTCTGCCCCGGCCACCCCCATCGACGCGCAGCTGGCCTGGGGTGACCCTTCCACGCCGTGGCCACCAGGCACTGGTGACGTCTCAGTGGGTGACAGCACCCAGCACTCAGCTGGTCCTCCCCCAGAAATCCCATACCTACAGGATACATACTGTCCCGAATGCCCTTAGACTGCTGAACTAACAGCAGGATTAAGCCTAACGCACTGTCACAGCCCAGCGTGCCGCAGGCTGCCAGCACAGCCACCTGCCCGGG